TGTAGCAAATAATTTGAAATTCAATATGAAAATTGCCGCTTACGCTTTTGTCGTTGTTGCAATACAARCAAAACTAGTCCGGCAACGTGCCAATAAAGTCAAATGAAAACTCACAATATTTTTGTTCAGAATGAATACCCTTCGTTTGCATACTACAACAGCACACACACACATGCATGCACCGAAATACCCACAAATAAATAAAATATTTTTCCTTCGATAAAAGAAGAAACAAAAACTAAATATTGGAATAGAAAAAAGTGACCTGGGAAGCTCTCGCTTGGTTGCGCTTGAAACGAAAAATTGTTGAATTGAATAAGGATGAAGTTTTTTTCGGAATTTCTTTGAAATCAACAATGCTGGCATGAGTATACCGTTGGAACAGAAWTTAAGCATACGAGCTTCCTAGTATGTGTATTACTATGATCCCCGCAAAACAAGTAAAAAATTGAATGGAACCTGGAAAATCAAAACACACACACTCACGTGCAAAATACATATTATGTTACAGTTCCTTTTACAGTTATATGCCAGCTTGAAATATAATTTCTGTGAAACTATTTATATTACAAAAGCTAACGGTAGGTGTTTGTGACAATTCTTTGCCGGGAGTAAGAAGAAGTATCGTGTTGCCTAGTCGACAAAAAAAAAAAAAAAATGGCACAGAAGACATGCCTCGTTCCGGACGACTTTCGACCTCTTCAATTCATGAAAAATTGAAATTGAAAATCGTCAAATTTAAAGCCAAAAACGCAATAAATAACAACGATCGACCAACGTATTCATCAAATTGGGTTCCGTGTGWTTTTTTCTTGTTCCCCAAACTGAAATTGCCGSTSCGTGGAACCCGTTCTTAGTCGATCGAAGAGATTAAACAAMATTCGCTGAAGRTGCTTATGAAAAGTTTTTCTGGGAAAAATCGTTGGCGGGAATTACTTTGAAGACGACAAAATAAATATTGCTGAATATTTAAATATTTTGCGTTTTATTTACAATTTCCGGATACTTTTTTGGCACAATGTATGCCAACTTTTAGAAAGATTTTCTTAAAAATGTACGTGGGTACATAATACACATGCACATATATATAGAGCATTCCCTATTAAATACGTATTTGCTTTTCTCTTTTCTCGAATGCTAAAAGTTGACAGTGACGAAGGCTGCTGCGAAGATTTGTTCAAATATTATGATTAAGTGGACACATGTTGAAGGCAAACAAATCAAATAGGTTTGGCAGTACGGAAATAGCAAAAACAAGAAACCAAGAAACGAAATAGAAATAGAAACGAAATAGCAATGATTTAAAATACAAAAATATTACGAGTTTTAACAGATACAGGGTCCGCCAAGAAGAACGACGTAAGTTAAAATGGAATAAAACACGAAAATATGTTAAACTTGGACTAGTTTTTTTTTTTTTATTTTGTTATGCAGATAGTTTTATGCCATATATGATTTGAACAAAATGTCGCCTAAATGGTCATCACAGCTCGTTTGCGTATCTCGAACCGTTTACGCCAATTTTTGATGAACCGGAGTTGCATTTAGGCAGGAATTTCAGCTATACAAGTAGTGTGCTGAATGTTGAAGTCGAGTTCCCCGTTGCTGTTTGATTTTACATATTATCTGGGAAAGTACCCAATCGTCTGATATTGGCGATCATTTAACTATTTATCAAAATTAGCGAGCCGATGTTTATTCCATGTTTAGACGTGAGACATGAGGTGGCACAACGTCTTGTTGGAAATAGAGATAATCTGCTTCGATTTCATCAAATTCCGGGGAAAGATTTTGTCAAGAGCATGCTATACCGCTATTGATGGTAACAGCATTTCGTGCCTCATTTCGAAAGATATTAGGACCGATGATGCCGCCATACCGCAATCCGCACCAAACAGTAAGTTTTTGGGTATGCAATTGCGTTTCCTGACCCACGCGAGGTTTGATTCATTCCAATTCTGTTGGTTGGTGAAGCTATAAAGCCAGGCCATCAGATCATATGCTTTTCGAATTTCTGGATTTTCCTTGAATTTGTATAATAATCTTCAACAATTCTCCAGGGTTGTACCAAAGTGTTGAAATTTCAAACCTGACTGAACACACAGACGAAATTTGATTAAAGAAATTGACCGCCACGAGCAGTCAAAATCACATATCCCTATTGTTAGACGCTGTTTATGTATGAATATAGAATTCTTAGACTAATTTCATCCCAAAATCTGAGTTTGGTTATCTTAGGTGATTGGAACTCAGTTGAATTTTACGGAAATACACAATATGGTCACTTGTACTGTCTTATGCAACAGCAGAGTTTCATAAGAGACCGAGCTACTCGAAACGCGAGCGAGAGTCATAAACAATAGCAATTTCAGACACATTCGGTACGTCTTAATAGAAACATGCTCTCAAATCATCGTATCACATTCACTAAGAGGTGGGCTTTGTTCTCTATATAAATCGCCGTTTTATACAATTAACTTAACTTTTATCCAAGAACTGTATGCTTTACAAATCTAGCAGATAACTATATTACTTTGTGCTGATCCAAAGGCAGAGTTGCGAGATTTTTCAAGGAGGTTTTTCTCTCACTTGTAGTGAAGGGTACAAGGTAGTGTTTCTCCTACGTGCTAGCAGGACCTTCGAAGATTTTCCTTTACCCGATGAGTACCTAAAACTTTTATTAAATTTTTTTTTTTTTTGTAAATTATGCGAAAAATGTACGCAAATTCGATTTGTTTCGGGTACATATTTCGATAATAATATTTCGAAGAAATGAAAGTAAAGCTTGCTTCAAGCTCTACACATTGAAACTTAATGAATATTGCAAGCACTTCGTCATGCACAGTTATGTACTACGGCAAATAAGGTTTACAAAAACAAAAACGCTAACAATGAAATATCGTCAAGAGCATGCTTTAATACACTTAAGTGCACATTCTCTGCAAACGCATTGGTGTTGGTGTATTAGTAAAGGAAAAGGAAATGCCGCAGGCGTGCACAAACACACACACGAGCACATCAAACCGTTATGCATCATAAATTACATCGATGGAATATAAATTGTTTCGTTGCATGTTTGGATGTTTGCAAATTGGCAAAGTATGATGGACTCATGGACTCGTCAGAGTGAGGAAAAGAGGCGGCGGCGGTGGTGGTAGAGCGGTCAGCGCACAAATAAATAAATAAATAAATAAATAACTAAATAAATAGTTAAAAATAATAACGGAAAATCGAAACATCAGCTGGAGTTAGCTTTGTTAGTCTTCAAATATTCATGAAATTAATTTGAAAAGCATGGTTATTCGGTTATTTGATTATTCGGTTATTGGCGTTGTGTTGTTTATTTGGTATACGTGTGGGTGTACAGCGACAGCGTTACAGAGAGCGAGAGTGAGAAAGTAATTACACACAAGCAACCATTCAAATTGATAACATAATCTAAATTATTACCATATTCTAATCCGTGGTCGTAGTATTGGCCTAATTCGGGGGTAGAACGAATGTGAAAAAACAAATGCGATTGATGATTTCGATTTCCGATTTTTTTTTTTTCAATTTTCGATATTGGATTTATTTTTTGTTTTTGGTTTGTTGATTTTTTGGTTGATTTTTGAGCAATTTCATTTTGCATTTGTTTTTATTTTTTTGTTAGATTTTTTGAGGTGTTTGGTTGGCGAGTGAAAATAAGTAGGAAAAAGAAAGAAAAGAAGAAAGTATAGTATATAAAATTATGCAAGATTCTTGTTTAATTGCAGGAAAGGCTTCGCATATTGGGCATTGCGTTTTTTGGTTAGTAAAAATGTGTACAAAGTTCAATCGTTGTTTTTCTTTTTGTTTACTAAAATGATTATAAAATCCGTGACACAGAGGGCAGTCGCAAAAATTAACCGTAAAATATATATGCAAGGAGAGGGAGGATTGTTCTTAGAATATATTAAAAGGTAAGTGGACAAAAACTCTGTAAATTGGAACAACTACGTTGCTTAAGGAGTTTGTATATTTTTTTTTGGTGAACCGAGTTAAAATTGGAAAGTAAATTTTAATTAATTTATTTTACAAAAATTATGGTGTTTTTACAATTTTGGGTTAAGTTTCAACACTATAATTTTTATTTACTTAAAATAATTATTTTTTAAACTACATTTACATGGATTTTTTAGATTGAAAATGGAGTCCGTACAAAGCCATTACCACTTTGATGCGATCGGTATGAGACTATGTGATCTCACTGAGCACGCAGAAATGTAAAATATATCAAGGCCCGATTGTGAATCAAAGGCATAATTTAGCTTGAGATATGAATAATCATATGAAGACAAGAAAAAACAACAAATACAAAAGATTCCTCAATAACTTTGATCGGTCAGTTTGTATGACAGCTGTATGCTATGGTGCTCCGATTTGAACAATTTCTTCGGAGATTGTATTATTGGCTCAAGCAATAATCTGTGGCAAATTTCATAAAGATAGCTCGTCAATTAAAAAATTTTTCCATACAAGTAATTGATTCGGATTGTTCAGTTTGTATGGCGGCTATATGCTATAGTGAACCGATATCGCTCATTTCATCAAATAAGCAGACTTTTGGTGAGTAAACACCGTGTACGAAATTTCAGATTGATATCTCAAAACTAAGAGACAAGTTCCCATAAATGTATACAGACAGACGGACATTTATAGAGTCTCATACGCTTCCTTTTGTGTATTACAAACATCGTGGCAAACTTTATACACAAATTTAAAAATCTGACACAAAAATTACTATCTTTATTCATAGTCATTTGATCTTAAGCCAAAATTGTAAAAACACTTCAACTTTTTCAAGGCATAACATCACATGAGAATATATACATTAAAAGATTTCGTAAAAATTATATGTTTTTTTATAAATTTCAAATTCCTGCATTATGCCTTGAATTTCACCTATTTTACTTAACTTATACCCACATATGTACATAAATGAAGGCTACCCGCTCCCGAAAATGCCCCCATATACTTACTTGAGCGAATAACTGTTTGTTGCGTCTTGACGCACCACCAGCGGGCGCTGACTGGCCGATGTTGCTGGACCGCCGCCGCCACCACCTTGCTGCACATTGCCATTGGCATTGCTGTGGTCCTGTGTGGGCGTGGCCGGCGATGAGGTGGACGTTTGGCCGGGCTTCTTCTTCAGCGCCGACTTGAGAGGAACTGCATTTGGTTTTGGCTCTTTGGCTGGAATTTCCTCAACGCGCTGTGTATCGACATGATTGGGATGTAATGATTGTTGTTGCTGCCGCAACTGGAACATATACTCCTCATCCGAGTCTAGCTGGTCGTCGTCAGGCTCTTGATCTGTGAGAATAAACGGTTTGAAAGTAGAATAACAAATGCGAGAAAATGCGGAAAATCAATTAAAAAAAAAAAAAACATGAGTGTAGACAAGTGTGCGCTGCGATAACAGTACAAGCAGTGGTGGAAAGACGACATTGTTTTCAAATGACGCGGTATTTATGAGCGTTGCAACGACAACACTGTTTGGGCATCATTAAGCAACAACTTATTTATGAGCAGTAAAAGTGTCGCGTTTAAAGTAAAAACGGTGGCAAAGCCTACCTCCGGCTTAATAAAAATTTTACAACTCAAAATATCACGCTCTTAAATGCGAAGAGGCTCTTAATGCTACGCCTTTGGTATGAACGCTAGCGTTGGTATGAGCGCTAGGCAAAGCTGCTGAGGTAGAGTCCTCCATGAGGCGTCACTCGAAGCCGTCATCAACACTTTGGCGGTAAAAGGTTTAYGCGCGCATTCAGTTAATATAGTATTGCGCAATAAAAGCCGCCTTAACGAGGCTCGCGAAAGAGTCACGACAGGATAATGAAACAATGCCATGCAGAGGCATTAACGGCACGTGGCCAAATAGGTGAGTAGTGTGTAAACAAGTGTAGTTAGCATACAAACATATAACGRAAACATAAAGCGTGTTCAGCAGGAGTTACTACGGATACACTACGAGACATTAAATGAGGTGTAAAATGAGTTTTACAGGCATATTTAGGTAATTAGAGGAAAAATTTCACAATCTTTGAATCTTATTCTTAAGTAATAATTAAAARGTCTTAAACAATAAATCTAGTTTTGGTTTATATACGTAAAATGTAGCTTCAAAGACCACAACAGTCAATTAGCAGATTTTAATTACTTTGCCAAATCTCATTGTGACAAAAAAGTACCCGGAAATTGTAAAAAATTGTTCATCAATATTTATTTAGAAGCCTACAAATTAGTCGTCATCAGATGTAATACACTTATGCCAACGATTTTTCCAGTCCAGTCGAAACACTTTTCATAAGCACTTTTTGAGATGGCCTTCACGTCCTTCAGTGTATCTTCAGTGTTTTTTGTTTTTTCGATTTCGATTTCGATCGACTGAGAACGGATTTCACGGAAAGGCAATTTTAGTTTAGAGAACAAAATAAAAATCACACGGAGCGAAATCTGGTGAGTACGGTGGTTGACCCACGGTATTCGTTGCGTTTTCGGCGGTATAAAGATCTTCATTAATGTGGGTTCGGAAGTCGCATGATCAAGCATGTCCGAAGAGACCTGTACAATGTACTCTTTTTGAAAAAACATTCAGCTTTAACGCGTTTCATATCCAAAATATCCAAAAAAAAAAATCGTTCGAACGGCATCGCGAGAGATGTCGAGCTCTCTAACACTTGACTGAGGATTTTCAAGCACATATCCTTCACTTTTTTTAATATTTTCATCAGTTGAAGAGATCGAAGGTCGTCTAGAACGAGGTCGGTCTTCAACGATCTCTTGTCCGTCTTTGAAGGATTTGTACCGCTCGTAGACTTGAGTTTTTGGTAAAACCGAATCACCGTAAGGCATTTCCAATATTCTCAAGAAAAATGATTAAATATACAAAATTTTAGACAAATTCTGTGTTCGACATTTTTATCCATTCTGATAACCGCAACGCACTACAAAGGTGTACCGACTTAGGCAGCTGGTGTAAACAAAGTGCTTGACAGATCGCGCTCATATTTGGAATAGGAATTAAGGACGGTACTATCAGCTGAAATTCCATTTGTCCGGGAAAATTAATTATAATTTTCGGTTACTTTTTTGTCACATTGTTTTTGATTTCAATATTTAAAAATATATTTAGCACAACAACACTTTTCTCCGCTGCTTACTTAAAATCGAGCAATCAATCTTAGCCGCGAATAACTTTCCTCATCACGAATCGCTGCCTGCATGAAATACATATACATATGTATTGTAAATAACAGTACTGTTATTCAATACGAGCAAAAGCTGCGAGATTTATTGCAACGCTTTATCGAAATTATCGCTTCGCCTCGCCTCGCCTTCATCGCTAACACCAGTCAATAAACAACGAATGCCTGCGGCAGCATGCACTTACACACAGACACACAGACACATTTACATATGTCTATGGGCTGTATGGTAAATTTGTTTAACAATTTATAACCGTTATGCCTACCGTCATAATCATAATCCTGATAACCTTGATCATTCATCGCACCCGGCCCATGAGCGCGCCCAGCTATCAATGTTGGACTCGGTGTTGAGAACATGGGCGGCGGTGGGATTGGACCAATCTCGGACACTGGTATCGGTGGTTCTGGCAACTCGGAGAGCATAACACCGCCAGCCCCCACATTGCCGCTGCCGCCTCCGCCGCCACCGCCACCTTGGCGGTCGTTCGTCATTTTACCATCGGCCGTGTACGGTGGCGGTGTGCTGCCGGGCGGTCCGCCGATTACATTGTTCACTGCAGCGCCGCCATCGGGATCTGAAAGCGTACAAAATGGAAAAAGAATAGATGATAATAAGCGCAGGGAAATGAGTGCGAGAGAGCAATACAAATATACTAGTATAATTTACAGTTATGTAATCATGTGAATTCGCTGAAGGATACACACATATCTAGCTATAAATAATATGAGTTCGAGTAAAGAGTACAAGTTATAGCTTACAAAAGTTAAATTTATATACGAGAATAGCCATAAAGTGCTTTATTCAATATACGAAATGCTTAAAATTATATTTTTCTCCTTCTGCAAAGGGACTGTTTATCTCTTAGAATGATTTTCATATATTTGGTGGAGAATTTTCTTTCATATTATGCTAGTGGATCCAGTCACACGTTGCTGTGGTATACATTTTTTTACTATTATTCAAATAATAAGCTATTCAATACAGTGACATTTTTATTTACGAATAAAGACGTTTTTTTTCGTATAAGAATCCAAGAGATTAAACTTGAGGTTTAATTTTGAACATGTTTATACAAATAAATTTCATTGGAAAAAATAACAAATTTAAGACTGCTACCACCCTTTTCGTCCAGTTTATAGAGATGTCCGCTTAATAGAGCGCCCATTTAATAGAGCTTTCGTTATATTTATTATTTTTGGATTRTTTTTATTATCCTATCTTCTAAGTTGGGTCGAACTGGGCAYAGTGTGCTAAATTTTGCTAAAATCSATTCAGKAGTTTAGGAGTACATGGCGGACAAATGTAATTATATATTTTATTTTAAGAGCATATTGTTTGGTGATATATTAGGCTGACTCAAACTGTGAGAGGTATTTTAATTTCTATCTATTGCCATCTCTATTTCCATTCGCCTACTAAACTCAGCCAGCATCTTCCCACTATGAAGAGTCTGCGAAATTCCATTGAACAACTACAGAAAAATATAGAACGCAATCATATACACGGCCACCACAGATTACCATCAGCAACTGCAGCAAGGCTGGTCAACTCCACTTGTCCCTAATTTGGCTTCATCGTCACAGGAAAATGTTCGGCATTGAATAAGCAGACAAGTTGTCAAAGCTAAGAGCTTCTTTAGACGAATTTCCAATACCATGCCAATACCATGCCCACTGACAGTGATCAAAAATAACTTTATATGCATTTAGATCTCAGAGTGGATGGAACTCAATAACAAACTGCAAAATAACAAATTAGATATGTGCCAAATACGACAGGAATAGAACCAAGAACCCACTATTTGGGTACAGAAATAGCACATACAGACTTACAGGTGCTGTAAAGGAGCAGTGGCCTTTTGGAGGGCATGCGCTAAATATGGATTTGCCTTATAACAATATTAGCCACAAGTGCAAGATAAAAGAGAATACGGAAACGGTGTTCTAGTTTTTCTGCGGAGCTCAACTCTATCACAAGCCCCACAGAAAATACTTCGAACCTATCAGGCACCAAACCTTGAATGGTTGTCCACAAAATTCATTACGGATATAAATAGTTTCATTACGTGCACCAAATAGTTCGAGCGTAACGATGAAACGGAACAGCAAGACTATGAGATATTACGATAGCTCAGTGAAATGGCGCAATCAGCATTCAGAATTAGGTCCATTATGGTAATATTCCTAACAACCTGTTTTGTTTGGTAGAGATGGCTGGATCTGGTCCGGTATTTCATAGTAGCTTCGAACTCTACGATACCTCGATATTGCCTAAGGAAAAACTTTTTATCACGTGCATACTAAATTAATTGTAATTATTCAATACAAGTATCTCGCAATTATAAAACAACGCCTGCAGCCACTCGGACTAACAATAGGCTCATATTGTATATTGTATATAACAATTATCACCGATAAATGATATTCTGTCCATTAGTCGACATTTTGTTTATTGACTCATTCATCTTCTTGCTTCCTTGCAACATTTGCATCCACTACACCACATAGTTCGGCGAAGAAGCATGGAGCCTTGCTTAAAGCGCAGCTCGTTTTCAGAATCACCTACAATTTTCACTTCTTCCTTGAACATTACGTAACGTAACTACTTGTTTATGCCAGCGAATTGCGCAATAAAATGCTTAACACACACAAAATGATTTATTCCTCGCCAAGCATAATCGCTTTACTGCAGTTTTATGGCTCAAAAATGCAAATAGTGCAGGCAATTTTCATAATTGAATTGCACTCTGTGTGAGTGTGTGGGTGTGTGCGTGTGTGTGTGTGTGAGTGGGCGAGTTTTGTGTAAATATTTACAAGACGCTTCGGGTTAATTTTACGGGGAAAAAGATATTTCAATTAAAATTAGCACCGCGTTGGAGATCCTCTCTTATTTTCAATGCCAAGGTCACATGTACAGACACTTATGAGTACATTTATGTATGCAGCTTAATTCCAAATGATACTGGCTAACTTATTTCTACCCTCAAATACCCAAAATAGCTATAGAGGAAGGTCTGCTTGCTAGGAAAAGCTCACCAGCTTTCAAATTGCTAACTACAGAGTGAGTTCATGAGCAGTAGGAGAGTGTGAAAGGAAGAGAATTTGAGTGTGTGTGTGGTTTAGTTGTTGTGAGTTGAACTATGAATGTTAGGCAATAATAGCTGAGGTCACACGCGAGTATGGTGAGTGAATATTTAGCAGGGTGTTAAGTGGCGAGTACAAATACACAGATACAGTTTGGTCGTTAGTTCGAAAGTCCTTAAATGCAAAACAAGTGTGTGGTAAATGCCAAAAATGTAGTGGCAGCAACTTACAATGCTCATTATGATAACAAATGTTTACGCGACGTGACACCTTGCCGGTGCCGAGTGTATTGGGGCGTTCCAATTTGGAATTCTGCGTGCGTGGAGCGCCGTCATGCTGATCACGACCGCCGCTGTTGCCACCATTCCCGCCACCGCCAACGCCAACGCCACCAGTGACGTGTGTCASGTGGTTGTGATTTGATTGCGCGCCGCCATTGCCACCGCCGGGTGGTGGCAGCAACGAACTCTGACCTGATGGCTGTTCGGTATTGGGTGATAGCGCCGCGCCATTRCCACCGTATGGTGCATCAGTCTTGTCCTTTCTGGTTTCTGTGGGCGAGAGAGAAAGTACGGCGTAAGAGATCTGCTTAATAAAGAGTTCGAAGCAGTTTGGCATAAGTGATATATACGATAATGTTGGCACACTCTTCGACATTATTGTACAATGAACATTTTTCTGCACTGTAAGTAGCCAGGAAGAGATTTCCGTTTGGAAATTTTGAAAGCATTTTTAAAATTTTTATGATAGTGATCTGTTAATTTTAGGCGTGAGTTTTAGACGTGAAATAAGTGTAAATTCGAATTTAGTTGCCAACGGTTACCTGAACTCAGTGTCTGGATATTTGCCATTCATTTAACTCACTACCAAGTAGTTTACAAGTTAGCTAACAGTTAAGTATATTAGGAAAAATATGCTGTAAAGACTGCATTTCAACGAAAGATAAACAAAAATTTCTCACTTAAAAACCACACATTAAGCACTCTCGGTACAAACAAAAATATTTATTACATTATTTTCATTGTAATTATTTTTAGATATTTCTTCTGCTTGTCTCAATGCTGTGCAAGCCATTTGATATTTGTGTGCAACTGCGTTTATTCCCTTCCTGCCACTCAGTAGTAAATGGGTGCAACCCTGACCAGCAATTATGGTTATCGCCGAGACCGCAGCTGACCAGCATATAACTTCTCATTTATCACTTTCAGATTGGGTTGTGGTTAAACAGAGAAAGGCAGGATGTAAGTAAGGGAGAAATTTTATTAACTGATTGTGTGAGCTGGCTGCCATAAATGTCATGACAATGTGTTGCATCAATCACTTAACACATACACACACACACGAACACAGAATTTGAGGTTTCTCTAGTAAAATTGCACTATAATATACATATATACATCTGTACGTTTGAGCATAAGGACATTTACTAATATGGCTGTAAATGATAGAAGAGAGGAGTCAATAGCACGTGGGAGCTTTCGGTAGGTAGAAGAGGTTGGTTGAAGGAGAGTAAAGTTAGAAGCCTTGCAGCGGCTTTTCTATGAAATCTATTTAATATATGCATATCCTCAATTTTGCACATCCGAGTTTTCAAGCATAAATCGGCCGATACTGCCACAATTTCACGTTCGATTTTCGTTAGAAGTTCATCAATCGTCGCTGACTTATTGGCATAGACCATAAGCTTGACGTGGCCTCACAGGAAATAGTCAAGCGGCATCAAATCGCCCGACCGAGGTTTCCATTGAACTGGGCTCACCACACTTGGTTTTCAATAAATCGATCCAATAACGCATATTTTGCTTATTTCGATATTTCGCTGAAAATCCGGATCATTTTCAAGTTGTTGCTCAGCCTAATTCACGAACATACGACTATGCTGGAGGTCAAGCGCTCTCAGTTCTTGCGTCAATTTGATCTTCTAACGACGTCACAGAGAAACCCAACGCTTGAGAACGACTATTGAGAGACTGATTTGGGTTTTCCTCAATTAATGCGCTAGCGGCAGCAATATTCTCGTCGCTAACTGTGGAATCAATTTTTTTCATTAGACGTGCAATTGTTGATCTGACAGGACGATTATGACGACCATTAATTGGACTTAGCGCTCTTAAAGTTGAGGCCACTGACACCGGATTTCGGTAGTAAATTTTAATAATTTCGACTCGTTGTTG